AGCTATCATATGACCCAGCCATTCCACTCCTAGGGATATACTCAAGAGGAATGAAACATACATCCACACAAAAACTGATATATGAATGTTGACAGCAGCATTAATGGCCCAAAAGCAGAAACCACTCAAATGTCTATCTACCAATGAATGGATACACACAAAGTAGTATATTCATCTAATGAAATATTATTTGGTAATAAAAAGAAATGAAGCCTGATTATGTGTCATGACCTAGATGAAACTGGGAAACACTGTGCTAACTGAAAGAAGCACTGTATGATTCCATTTATAAGAAATATCCAGAACAGGCCGGGCCGGTGGCTCACGCTTGTAATTCCAGCACTTTGGGAGGTCGAGGAGGGCAGATCACTTGAGGTCAGGAGTTCAACACCAGCCTGGCCAACATGGTGAAACCCGATCTCTACTAAAAACACAAAAATTAGCCAGGCGTGGTGGCGCATGCCTATAATCCCAGCTACTCGAGAGTCTGAGACATGAGAATTGCTTGAACCCGGGAGGCAGAGGTTGCAGTCAGCTGAGATCATGCCAGTGCACTCCAGCCTGGGCGACAGAGAGAGACTCCATCTCACACACACACACACACACACACACACACACACACACAATCCAGAACAGGCAAATCCAGACACAGAAAGATAAGTGGTAGGGTTGGGGAGAAATGGAGAGTAGCTTCTAATGAGTACAGTCTTTTGGGGGTGGGGAGAGAATATGGAAATGTTATAACATTGATTGTGATAGTTGCACACTCGGTGACTTCTGTGACTAAAAATCATTGAATGGCACTTTCAATGGGTGAACTGGATGGTATGTGAATTATATTGCAGTAAAGCTGTTAAATACACACACACACACACACACACACACACAGAGTAACTAGTAACTCACTCACTCACTCACTCACTCACTCACTCTGTCTCCTCCCCTCTCTGGATAACACAAGAATGTGCATACAAACCTTCAAACCTTACTCCGCCCCTGCCTTCTGGTGGAGGTGGAGGAGGGCCCGAGTCTCACACTTCAGCCTGGTCTCATTCCTCATTGTCCCACGGGATTCATCCTCACCACTTCAGTTCCTGGGGTCTCAAGACGGGAAACAGGGGTAGCAAAGGCCAGAAAGCAGCACAATGGAGGATGGTTTCCTGAGAAGCAAGGGGCTTTCGGCCGGGTGCAGTGGCTCACGCCTGTAATCCCAACACTTTGGGAGGCTGAGGTGGGTGGATTACTTGAGGTCAGGAGTTCGAGACCAGCCTGGCCAAAATGGTGAAACCTCATCTCTATTAAAAATACAAAAATTAGCCAGGTGTGGTGGTGTGCATCTGTAATCCCAGCTACTCAGGAGGCTGAGGCAGGAGAATTGCTTGAGCCCAGGAGGCACAGGTTGCAGGCTGCAGTGAGTCAAGATCACACCACTGCACTCCAGCCTGGGCGACAAAGTGAGACATTTAAAAAAAAAGAAGAAGAAAGGGGCTTTTGAGAAGTACTGCTAAAGGACCACAATTCCCCTCATGGCACATGTAATCTAAGGAATTCAACAGAACTTTGTTATTTTGAAATTACTTTTGTTTTTCAATGGACCCCTCAGATTAAACCACATGGCTGTTTTGTAATCGCATGCACTGAAAGTTTACACCTTAAACACATATCTTCTTGACACGATTCCCATTATCTTATATATACACGGTATATACAAGGAGAAAGCAGCCAGAAATGCCGTGGGCTTTGGCTTAACAAGACAGAAAGGCAAAGCCGCAGCTGGTAAAATCATGATTGTTGAAAGGTTCTATAGGATAAAATGTTAAATATCCTCAAAGTCATAGGATTATGGAACTCTCTTCTTCATGCTTACCTGTACTTTCCAAGTTTTACATGAACAATGAACGTCTAGTAGGTAAACCACTAATGAAGTTTCCTTAGTGCTACGGTCACACTTGAGTGCTACTAAATAGTAGATCCTGCGGAAAAGTATAGTAGAACCAGAGAATAGAATGTCTTAGGTCAGAGCATATTGAGGTTTCCAGCAACCTAAGCTTGAATGAGAGTCCTGGCCTCTGTGAGTTGGTCCCAAGGCCCATGGTCAGTGCTCGCCTCCAGCTCCAGCTTCCCGTTTGGGAGAGGCCTTGATTTCCAAGAGCTGAGCTTCTAGATTTTGGAGATTTTCTATGGACAGCACAGACTCAAGAACAAAAGTACTATGTCAGGAGGCTAGATCTGACTTCTAAACCTGTTCAGTTACCAGAGAGATGAGTAACTCCCTTACTCATAAAGGGAGCGATGGTTAAGGGAACTAGAAACATTTAGACTGAAGACTTAGAAGTGGCCAACTAACTTCAGAATGGTAGAGGGTCAACACCTGGGAGAGCCCTAGGGGACAGCCCAAGGATACCCCTCCCTGAAGTTAGAGGGAGGCAGGTTTCTTGGTTTAGGAAGATTATTCCAACTACCAGAGATGCCCACCCCTGAGTGGACTGCCTCCTGACACTGTCCCACCTTCACCAGAAGCTGGATCTCACTGCTTCAGATGCTCAGAAAGCCCTTCAGTTATCAGGAAAGGGCTGGGCCAGATCTTCCCTGCCACCTCTCTACCCCGACCTCCCGATTCCACAGTACAGGGCTCCTTACACCGATTTCAGTTTATCTTTTATCAGAGCATGTTCCCTTATAGACCCCAGACTAACATGCAGCTCCAAAAGAACTGTTGATTGCCAGTCCCTGAGCCGAAAGTGTCTGTTTCTGGAACTCAACGTTTAGCCATTGCGACACCATTCAGGGGCTGCTGCCCTCTTGTGGAAATGAAGAATATGACTGCTTAGAAAAGAAATTAGATGCATTTGGAGACTACTGTCTGTACACATATTCCCATCTTATCTTCCCCTAAAAGCTTAACTTTTTAGTGTGGGCCCTGAAGTTCTTAGGTCCAGATAGTCAGGGCCTTTGGTTTACGTTCACGCTACCATTCTGTCCACCAGGATACGGAACTTTAGCCACAATACAAAATCCTTGTTTCTAGCAAGACTTGACATTTGTGAACGCCATTTTGATGCGTGGAGTGGCCGTTGGATGTTAACATCGTGCTTTGGGAAGAGCACTAGCCCAGGTTTAAAGACCCAGGTTCCAGTTCTTGTTCTGCCATTCCCTTGTGACCCTGGGACAAGCCATTTTCTAGTTGCATCTGCGGATAAAGGGCTATGTGACCACTGTTACCTGGAATGCTGTAATTTATTAGATTTCGAAAATGCTCTAGTAGTTTGGAGATGAAATTCTTTAGAGAACAGTGGCATATCACATGTGCACTACTTGTAGCTGCTAACCACAGCAAACAGCCATGGGCTTGATTCTAGGTTAGGGTCCCTCAGGCTCCTACAAAGGAGACCGAGGCACTGTTCACGTGTGCCTCAGCCTCAGGGGGAGCCACAGTCAGATGCTTTGCTTTTCCCTTAAGTAGAAATGCGGCAGACTGTTCAGGGAGGCTCCCTCAAATCCTCGCCTTCGCACGTGTCTGAAAAGCATTTACTAAGTTTTCTGGACGAGTCTGGCCACTAGCTCAGGATGCAAAGCTCTGTGACCCATTAGTGACTGGAAGCGATTTCTCATTGTTTCCAAACATCAGTCACCCGCTCCTTGTTACCACGGCAGGGCTTCAGACGGAGGAGGGGGCAGCTGGGGACACCACATGGTTTGCCTGAGTGTGAGGCAGGTGTTCAACCCCAAACTGGAAAAAGGGCTCGAAATAAAACTACAGTTGGTAGCTGAGTAAGGAACATGACTGTTTCATTTAAGAAAACTCACTTCCTTCTACTTAAGTTGCCCCACAAAGGATAATTTTCCCTCAAGAACTGCCTTGCCAAGTTTTTCTGGTTGTAGTCTCTAAATGCTATTTTAAATGTAGTCGGGGGAACTATGTTCTGTTGGCTCCTAATACTGAATTAAGCTAACTTTCCCTTACGAGAGTAACAGAAAATTTCAAGAGCACAGGATGCTCTGTTGACCTCAGACGATTTGTACCCCCACACTTGGTAAAAATAAAACATCTTAGCGAGGTATTTATGACATTAGTCTGAAAACATTTTTTCACTTACAGGAAATCTTACACAACGAAGTGGCAGTCAACTGCAAGGATAAATGCTGAATGAGCCACTCAGCCGGACCTTTGAGGACACTCGGCTTCCTAACAGGTCTTTCATTAGCGCTTATTCCGGTATAAAAAGGCTCCTTAAGAAAATGTTCTCACTAAAAAATAAGTTACAAACGAATAAGAGTGCTACATAACCAACAATCCTAAGTATTAGGTACGAGTAATAAGGCAAATTTATCTTAAAAAAGGTGTACTAGTAACAGTGGCCTGCTACGGACCAGGCACTGTCCTAGCGTTTTACACACACAAATCTCCAATCCTTACAATAACCCTAAAAGGCATACAAGCAGACAAGCAGACTCCAATTTGTTGAATAACTAAGCAAGGCCATATAGTACTGGCAGAATCAGAAAGAGAACTCAGGTCTACCAAGTTCTCCTTATGATTAAGCTTTTTCCTCTACATCTCCTGAAAGCTGCCTTGAACTGGAGTGGGGAGAAATGAGAGGCTCCATGACAGCACGCCCTGTGCTTTCACCAGGTTTCTTTATACACTGGACATCCATGTGAGATTTTATGTGAAACAGGTTTTGGCTTGCTTCAAGTTGTGTTTCACTATTTAGTACCCTCTTTCGCTCACAGCAGATGGGCTCTACAGGTCCTGACAAGGTCTGAAATGAGGAATGCTGGGGAGCACCTGTAGGAACACTCAGCCCTGGATCAAAGTACAGCACGCTGTAAGGGACGGTACTGAAAGCCTTGGGCAGTCTGGAAGCCTTGTCCCTACAACACAAGGGCTGGTTCCCAATCCTGGTTATGATGCTCAGAGCTGTGAATTGAAGAGATGCGTGATTACACATTTGCTTGCTGCTTTCCTCGTTAGAAGATACAGAGTCACTTTAGTTAACTTCCATTTAATTTAACATTTATTTCATTTTATATCCAGATGTCACATTTTCTACATTAAAATATAATCATGCTGACTCCCCCCACCCCCACCCCCTCAAAGAAAAAAGTGAAGAACTTTACACAACATGAAAGATGGAATGCATGGAGTAGGGAAGTCGCTATTGCACAAGTAACAAAGAACACAGAGAGACCAAACAGGACACATGGCAGAACTGCATAGAAGATCGCTCAGGGCTCACGTTCAGGAAGGCGCAGGAATTCAGAGAACTCTAAAGCTTGGAAATGCTATCGTTTGTGCCACAAAGATTACCCTGAAAAGGTAGAGAGAGGTCAAAAAGTAAAACAAAATTGGGGATTTTCAAAGGCTGCTCTCTAACAGAGTTTAAAATATCCGTAAACATAAGTGCGTTTGCTCCCCACCTTGCCTTCGGCATCTGGTAAACACTTTAGAAACTGAAACCACTGTTAGTATGTCAGAATGTAGAAAGGCTGTAGGTTTTTCTTTCTTCTTATCTTGTACCCCAAACAACAACTCTATTAGCGATTTTAATCACGTGACTCCTCTGCTTGGAAATCCAGTAAGGATCACCAAGACAAGGGGCCTCACTGCTACCTGACAGACACCAGCTGTGCAAAAGTTGCAGGATTCTGTGTATTATTTGGAGAGGGAGAGCTGTAAGACACAGGAATCCCAATACATATGTACTAAAGAGAAAAAGAAAACTGCTTTCACTCATCTATTCATTATACAGGAAAGAGCAAGTAGACAGTCAAAACCATCTGCTTCGAGCATCAGCACAGCCCAGCAACACAGGCACACCAACAAACCGAAAGCACACACTCAGGAAAGGGCCTCTTGGCCCTTCTCAAAGGAGACTTCTTTTAGACCGGATCTTGCCCCTAATGTAGAGACCAAAGCATTATAACTTCAGAGACTGGTACTCTTGAGGGAGTTGAGAGGTAAGGTCTAAGAGGCCCAAATAATGAGACCGTTATCAGGTAACTAACTACTCCGCTATGTACAATACATACAGCAATAGGAAAACGCCACTCCATCCCTGCAGCTACTTTAAACATAGCACTGAGGACCCAGGTTTTCTGAACGGGATATTTTAAGGTCTGTTAGCAGTTTAAAACGTTGCAACACTGGCACAATATGTTACCTATTCTTTGTTTTTAATTACAGGGTAACACAGTAAACTCCAACACAAAGGTGGGGATTGGGGAGCGCAAAAGGAATAAAGAAAATAGAACCAGTATTTCACAAGAGTGTGGAGCAGCGCAGAAGCGGCAGCTAATGCTTCGCAGAGTCTCGAGGGTAAAATTCGCTGAGGGTGCTCTGAGGGATTCTCTTCAGCATTTCTTTGGGGAAGATTCGGAGCAGCTGCCAGCCAATGTCCAAAGTCTCAAAGACAGTGCGATTTTCGTAAGGACCTTAAAAAATTGAGATTGAATTAATAAATGCAAATGACTTCCAACTTAGCAGTGTTATTCAGTATGTACTGTTACATGACTAGCAGTGTATTAAATATATATTGGAAAAAAGGTTGGGACTCCCAAGACTAAATGAGAAGGAGTGAGGAAAAGAGGACACAGACAGTATCGTAAGGAACCAGAGAAGCGGAAGAGGCGGCTGGGCTGAGACAGGGAACAGTCTTGCGGGAGGGGATGGGGAGATAGATCTGAGATTTGACAACTGGGTAGCATACTTGAGGAATGGAAACTAGAATCAATGTTTTGTCCAGAGATTAGTGAGAAAAGTCTCCCTGGCACAGAAGGTTCACACAAGGAGAAAAGGCTGAATTTGAAGGCAACTAACACAGATGCTCAGAAGGCCATAAATGCCAGTCAAGCACCTGAATACACGCAACCCTCTCCAGAGCATCACTAGCTGAAGGTCAGTGGTTTTCCAAGTTGTTAAAATTATTTTTGGTGGCAGAATCATCCTTATCCCCACACATAAATCTTATTCTTTGATTCCAAGGCTGGAGGTCTGGGTTCTTCTCTCTAGATGAAAACTTTATTTTGTTTAAGATATTCAGGTTCTGCATTAAAAACATTCCAATAATCATGGATATTTTGGGGATTTGAATAATAATGTATCATATAACTGGAAAGGTGCACATCCTAAGTGTACAGCCTGATGCATTTATTCCAAAGTAAACACACCTGCTGTAACCACCACTGATGTTAAGAGAATATCACTAGCATTAGCAGGGGTGATGGGAGAGACCAAGCAAAACAGCTTGAAAATCCTGCCTATGCTACGTCATAAAAACCATTACAGGTTTTTTTAGTAGAGGGACAACCAATAAAATTAGTAATATATTTACCCTGGCAATGGCACACAGGGAGTCAAGGAGACTGGTGAAAATGCTGGCACCAATGGCCAAGGGTGATGGGACAAAGGTTTGGACTAGGGCCTTTGGACTCAAGAGTGGTCAGAGACCGGCAGCTTCAACGTCACCCAGGAATTCACAGAAATGAAAAATCTCTGTCCCCACCAAGGTCTGCTCCATCTGAATCTGCATTTTAACAAGATTTCCAGCTGATTCAAAAGCATATTACAGTTTAAGAAATACAGGACTAAGGTATTATAATGGAAATAAAAACCGAATAGGGTAAGATATTTCAAAGGAAAACAACACAAATTAGTAAATAATTGATCACGGGAGAATAAGCAAAGAAGGTTAAGAATAATGCCCAGTTACTGAGCTTGGGTTAATGGAACAATGATTATACCAGAGGTAGATAAAAATTGAAAGGGCACTGCTAGGCAGGTCACTTGGAAAAAGCAAAAAAACTGGTCCGAGTACACTGAGCCTCAGGGGATGGTGGCATAAACAACAGTGGTGTTCCTGAGGCGGCTGGAGGTGTGGAATCAGAGGTCCGGACAGCAGGTGAAGGCCCACACACTGTAGAGCCACAGCAGAGTGAAAAGTGGGCACTGGGAGGGAAAGCAGAAACAACAGGTAACGGAGCTTTCCCGATTATTAACAATTAAGAGGCAGGAAGGTAAGAAATGAGAAAAAGAGATGAATATGGATGAATCAGGAAAGTGCCAAGCCCCAAATGTCAAAGCAGATCATTGCTAAGAAGTCAGCAGCAAGGAGAACTGGCAACGAAGCTGCACAGCAGAGGGCCTGGGAAGGAGGATTCAGAAGCGCGATGGAAGAAGGAAAACAGTGAGATGGTAGCTAAGTAACTGGAAAATCAAGTCAAGATCTTCCCAAGGTATTTAGAAGGCAGGGGAGAAGCCAGAGGGTTAAGGCAGGCAGGTGACAGAGCCTCTTCTCTAACCAGAGAAATAACTGTATAGAAACCAATGAGAATTCCCTCCGGCTTGGAAAGCAGTTTTCAAAATTACACACAAGGCGTTTTATGTTTGTAAGACAACAGTCATCTTACCCTGAGCAATAAAGTTCCTCTCAAACTTCTGCAGAAATTCCAAGTAGAGAAGATCATCTGAGGTAAGGGCTTCTTCTCCAACGACAGCTTTCATGGCTTGTACATCCTTCCCAATAGCATAGCACGCATACTAAAGAAAAGAAAGGTTCCCATCAGCAGAGAGAGGCTCTCAAAATGTTCAGTCATCTGGGATATAGGAATGTACTGCTCCAGTTTTCCTCACAAGAGCCCATAGAAGGAATTTACAAAATCAATTCACATAAAATTCATATGAAAGTACCAGAAGGACTATATTCTCACTCAGAAAGGAGTTTTCAGGCATACAATACACAGACACTCCTAATGCTCTACAAAAAACACACTTCTTCAATGTTAATGAGCTCAAAATTTATAGACCACTTGAAAATCAGAACTCATAAGGAGAAATCCATCTTGAAGTTCTAGTAAAAAAAAAAAATCTGTGATATCACTAAGTTTACCACTTCTACTTTATGGCCATAGTATTTTTCTTTATTTGTGTTAGTGTACAATCTTATATGACTATAAAAATCAAGGATTTCAGAGACTACATAAAACTGTACACTTTAGTGTTCTGGTGATGGCTTAATATGTTGAGCAAGAAATAGGTGAGAGCAGCCTTTCAGGAATACTCTATAATTAACACTAAAATCGCTAATAAAAAATTTAAACAACCTCATTGCTTGGCTTTTTATTTGGAAACATGATAGCATTAGACATGGGTTTCAAGCTAATCTTGATCATCAGCATCTATCCTTATGAGAAAAGGCTGCTGTGGTTCTAATGAATGATTATGTATTTGATATCAAGTCTACACTAAAATTCCATGTGGATGGGGAAAAGTGGTGAGGGTGAAAGACAAGAGGTGCAAGACAGCAGAAAGGCATCCATTTTTTTCAAACACCGTTCTTAGAAGAATGTACGTACCAGCTGGTTAGATACATCAGCATGATCCTTCCTGGTCATCCCTTCTCCAATAGCAGACTTCATTAACCGTGATAGTGAGGGTAGCACATTGATAGGTGGATAAATCTTGGGTAGAATGAGAGGGGAAAAAATACTATATTTAAGTACAATACTCAAGTTTTACAAAAAGCATTTGAAATTCATTATTACATCTTAAATCACAGAAAACTGCTGCATTTGTCTCCTAGATGAATTCTACTGTCTCTTCCTGGGAAGAAAAGGTAACAAGAAACACTTTATGGCACAGTATTTCTTTCAAGAATCAAATCCAACAAAGTCTCATCTATAACACTGTACAAGACTATTTTAAAAAACTAAACTTTCAACATCTGTTTGGTAAGTACTACCACATTATTGAGTCAAAATGGTCTTCTGAACTGACTCAAAAAATTATATACGAAATAAAAAGATTAACAGTAATTCCTAAAAGCTGATTTTAGCAGTATCTACTAGAAAAGCATGGCAAAGTCATTTTTTTCTATTAAAAACAAGATTGGTAGATGATACCATTAAGGAACAGAATTCCCAAAAAAGCTGTTGGAGGCAAGTGACTCCATTTTAAGACACAATAAAGAAAAGTGACGATTCTTAATTCTGGTGCTCTGCCCACACCAGAATTTAAGATAACAGAAATGACAATTTTATAGCCACATTAAAAACAATTCAAGTTGATACTTTCTAAGGAAAGCAATTCCCAAAAGCAAAATCCAAGTCACTAAAGAGTAATGGATGAGCAAGCCTGCAAGTTTCAGAGCACTGCTCGCGTCCAGTACCTGTCTGTTGTGTAGCTGTCTGTCCACATAGATCTGCCCCTCTGTAATGTAGCCAGTCAAGTCCGGGATTGGGTGAGTGATATCTACCGGAGGAACAGTCGACGTTAAGCATGGCGTATTTAGGTTATGAGTTTTACAGTGGCCATCTCCCAGGACCAAACCCACAAGAAGTCCATCTGTACTACCTATAACATTACTTAGAAGAGTGTTGTTAGAGTCATTTTCTGTGATGCTGCAAATGTTCTGTGTCTGTGCTGTGCAGTACGGTAGCCGTTGGCCTAATGTGGCTATCTAACACTTGAAACATGGCTAACAAAACTGAAAAAACTTAATTTCAATTATTTAATTTTAGTTAACTTGAACTTAAATAGCCAAATGTGGCTAATGGCGACTATACTGGCCAGTTGAGTTTGGTTGCAGCAGTTAGATGCGTGTTGGCTCTATGAGGTAAACTGGCTGCATTCATAAAAAATACTCTCTCCCCTAGGTAAGTGCTCTCCCCTCTCAATATAGGTAAAGTTTCATTTTAAACTCGAAGTTCCCTTACAGAAATTTGCCAACCTGATGTATACTGAGAACATTCTTAGTTCATAAGCTATGTCAGATGGATACACAACATTTCACAATGCAAAATGTAGGCATGTAACACAGAGAAGTAAACACTAGCCAGGCTGCACCAAGAAGGTCACACAAAGCAACACATTTCCAAATCTGTTAAATTACATCATTTTGTAGCTACTCCCCTGGAACAAATCATTTTCACGTCAGAGGCAGTACAGAGTAATAGTGTGAATTATGAACTCAAACTGGGTCCTAAATCTATCACTTGCTAACCTCAACAAATCATTTTACCTCCCTGTGCCTCACACAGCATCTGCCTCAAAGTTGCTATGAGAAGCAATGAGTGAATATTTATAAAGCACTCAGAACAGTGCTCAATTACAGTAATAACTTACCGTAATTTGTAAAAGTGTTGTTGAAAAACTGAAATAAGGACAAAAAGGCAATACAGGAGAGGAATTCTAAACAGTTGTACCCCAGGAGCCACCCTGAGCACACACGCAGACAGGCATTGGAAAGTCATTTTTAACCAGCCCTTGGTTAAAAAATCTAAGTCTTGTGGAGCTTACTACCTGTACTCCTCATGCGGCACTTAACATGGTGGCCATCTTAAATTACCAGGGCACACACATAAAAAACATCCCCAGTTAGACTGAGTAACTTACATTAAGTAGAGATCATAAATTCTTTTCAAAAATTCTTTACATTTAGAACAGTGTCCTGCAAACAGCAGACACTCAATAGTACCTAATAAATGAAAGTTAAAAACTTAAATTATGAAGAAAATTGCCTTTCCTCCACAAAAGGATAATAACTATGGGTAACTTTCAAATGAAAAATGTTTTATTTAGCCACAAATAACCAAGATAAACTCTTAGGGGATGGGTTCTCAAAATAATTTCAACTCGAAAAGAAAGATGGGTCTTCTCTCTCCTTAAAAAGATTAGGTGTGTTATAATCCAAATACCAAAACTTACCATCATTAGGCATGGTAAGAATAGGGATTTGAGTAATCGAGCCGTTTCTCCCTTCCACTCGCCCAGCGCGTTCATATATTGTGGCTAAATCTGTATACATGTAACCTGGGAAGCCTCGTCGACCAGGAACCTCTTCCCTGGCTGCTGAAACCTGACAGCAGGTCAAGGAGAAGAATATCACATACCAGATTATAACGAGCTTGGTTAGAACACGTTTGTCTGAACATGCCGAAGTACAAAGTTGAAAATCCCATCATGTTCGTTTTAAATACTGTCCTTAAGAATGATTTAGAAAAATCTCCCGGCAACATGAATTCAAAGTATTCCGTAACAAAAATGTTGACAATGGGGGACCACAAGGTTTTTGCTAAACTCATACTGCCATAATGTAAGTTTTCAAATAGTTTGCTAGAAGAAAATCTGTTTGCAATTTTATAAATCAAAGGAAGTTAATTTTAAAACAGAAAAGATTGTTGGTTCACAAGATTTATTCCACGTGGTAGAACTAGCTATATTTATCTAACCTAATCCCAAAAAGGTCAAAAGGGAAGGAAATGTACACCAGGAATCATCTGCTGTGCTTTACAACATTATTTAATTTAATCCTCACAGCAACCCTATGAGGAAGGCGTTACCTCCAATTTACAGTTGGAATCAAGGGTCAGAAAAATTAAACAATTTCTGAGGGTCACAAAGTCAGGAGTCCATTCCACTGCACAAAACAAGAATGGTGATAAACGATCTTTCCCTTACAGACATGGATACTAGACTACAGGCGTGCATGTTAACCTACAATCAACTAGAACCCTAAAGCATTATGAAATGCAACTTCTAAGTGCTACTCTGATATATTCAAAGGAGCGTGCTACAGCAGTGCTCCTCACAGCGTGGTCTGCAGACCAGCTGTTATCAACGCGCAATGATCACAGAGAAAGTAAGATAAGCACTTAGAAACTTTCAGGGCAATCTGGCAGAATAATTTTATGCCTGTTGAATCTAATAATTTTAAAATTTGCATTTGTAAATTATATATCTATTTAAAACTTCACTTTTCTAATAACTCATTTTTATTGTATTTTACAAAAGTATTGGTCTGTGATGGATGGGGGAGAAAAGTTAGTCCTTGACTAGAGTTAGTCTGAAACAGCAATATAGCAGAGTAAAATATGGTGACAGCACTGAGGGAATTTTAAGAAGCGAGGTATTGATACAGCCTGTCTCTTCAGAAGTCTTTTTATGTGCTTAAAAGAGTAACTTACTCAAAATTTCAGTAACTCGTATTCGAAAAAATACCCCAAAACTTCTAGGGGTGTAACTGTCAAAATCTCTCTCTTGAGAGACAGGTCTCATTCTGTTGCCCAGGCTGGAGTACAGTGGCACAATCAGAGCTCACAGCAGCCTCGAATTCCTGGACTCAAGCTATCCTCCCACCTCAGCCTCCTGAGCAACTGGGATCACAAGCGTGTGTGCCACTATGCCTGGCCAATTTCTTAATATTTTGTGGAGACACGGTCTTGCTATGTTACCCAGGCTGGTCGTGAACTCCTGATCCCAAGTGCCCCCTCCTGTCTTGGCTTCCCAAAGTGCAGGGATTACAAGAATGAGCTACCGTGCATGCCCAGCCTGCTAGAATCTTAATACTGTTCCTAAACATTAGGTTTTCTGAAGAAAAAAGTGCTGGAGAGAGTACTGTCAGAGTATGGTCTTTATAATATATTAACTTCATTAAAAATGGAATTATAAAAAGAGTTAAAAATTAATAGTCTGGACAGAAACAGAACTTCCCAGGAGAGTAACTGAATAAACAGCTTGAATTATTTACTCCATTTTACAATCATTTCTTAATCCATGGAGACAGTGACAGTATGAGATACACAGGCTAACCATTTAAATCTTATCCTCTAATCACTTCTACCAAGTTGACAAAAAGGAATTATTTTCCTTTCTGATTTATTAAGCCATTCTACTAATATATGAACGGTGGAATTAAAAAACCATAATTGAAGAATAATGAAAACTTGCAAAGTGACAAGTTAACCCTGAAAATTAACCAATTTTGTTTAACGGAGGGAAAAACATGAACAAGATACCTCTCGAAGTGCTTCAGCGTAAGAACTCATGTCTGTGAGGATAACCAGTACGTGTTTCTCACATTGGTATGCCAGAAATTCAGCTGTGGTTAGAGCCAGGCGAGGAGTGATAATTCGCTCAATGCTGAAAGGGAACTTAGTAAGTCTTAGGCCACTCAAACCAAAAGACCAAAAAGAAAAGACAAAAAGAAATGATTCTGGAAACAACAGTACAATTCCCCTTTTAAAGTTTTAAATAAATTCAGGAGAGCAAAGCAATTGTTGCTTTACAAATTCTTAAGTAAGGTATTAACAGTTATTTATAAATGTCTCAAATTTCTCAGTTGTATGGTTTCTCAACACTGGGGTGGGGCGGGGCGGGGGGCAGGAAGGAGAGAGACAGGGAAGAAATGAAAGCCAGATTTTTCAGGTAAGAGGAAAAAATCATTTACAGAGAGTTGATTGTGTATTAGGTAATTTATTAAGTATGATCTCATTTAATATGCAAAACAACTCCATGAGACAAATATCAGTTGCCACATTTTACGAGTTTCAGAACCTAAGTAATTTGCCCAATGCCAGATAAGTATCAGGAAGCAGGGCTGGACTTTAAATACAGGGTTACCTCACCGCTAGGTCCAAATGCTGTTATTACCACGGTTTACCTCCCCAACCTTAAGAAACATTTTTGATCCCGAGTCTGGGCCACAGAAAGAAATAGCTCTGTTTACTTACGTTGGGTCATTCGCCAAGTTCAAAAAGAGGCAGACATTGTCCATTGAGCCATTTTCTTCAAAGTCAGATTTGAAGAATCGGGCAGTTTCCATGTTTACCTAAATAACAATAACTTCATCAGTGCTGGGAGAAGAAAAATCCTGAACATTTATTTCTGATGAAAGCCAAGCTACAGATCTGAATTGTTCCTTCTTTTAAAATCTCAAGTATCCCAAAAGTTTTCACAAAAGCCAACAGAACAAAGAGCCGGTTTGGGGCACAAACAACATTATTTTTAAATTTCAAATTAGTCAAATGCCAAATTTTAGTCCTTAGTTTGGTCAAAAACGCCAGACTGCAAATTCTTGACCTAAAGAAAAATTCAACTATATATGTACAGCTTACTACATTGTTCTCATAACACAAGCAAAATTTTATATATCATACTAAAACAAAAAAATCTACTTACACCCATAGCAGCAAATACAATTGCAAAATTTTCCTCACTGTAGTCTACTACATCTTTGGATTTCTTTACCAAACCAGCCTGGCGACAGATCTGAGCTGCAATCTGATGAGCAAAGTAGAAGAATTCAGTTGAAATCTAAAATAACATTTCTACAACAAAATAACTTTTACTGTCAACTTTTTGGAATTGAATCATAAATGAAACCAGGACGTTTTAGGGGATTTATTCAAAGAAACTATTTTGTACTTTTTGCAAAGATATGCAAGAGTAAGCAAGAAGACATGTGCATAAATAAAGATTTAAGGTAACTGGATTATACAAACAATAACACTGAGTATTTATTTTGAAAATCCTTTACTTGGTTTCTCAGGAACAGTGATGCATTTAGAAATTCTTGTCTGCTAAATTTCATAGCAAACCGATCCCAGTCCTCACCTCATTGTGTGGTAGCCCAGCAGCAGAGAAGATAGGAATTTTCTGCCCCCTGGCAATACTGTTCATTCCATCGATGGCTGAAATGCCAGTCTGAATCATTTCCTCTGGGTAGATTCGACATTGAGGGTTGATTGGCTGACCTAATGTATTTCCAGAAAGGAAAATTTTAACATGTTGGCACAATATTCATGAATGAAATTAGAAATCATATCAAATTAAAAGAAAAGAAAAAGCACCAGGAGACCAGAACTACATAAAGCATCTCTCTACTACCAAAAAAAAAAAAAAATAATTCAGTTAGTTTTCAAATACAAAACTTGAAATAATTTTTTCCTTTACTCTTTTGTAGACTCACAAAATATACAGTAAAAGAATTCAAGTTCCTAAAGTAAAATAAAGGTATAGCAAATAAGAGAGAAGTCCTAATGCCTTTTTTTTTTTTTGGAGACAGTCTTGCTCTGTCGCCCAGGCTGGAGTGCAATGGCTCACTCGGCTCAGTGCAAGCAAGCTCCACCTCCGGGGTTCATGTCATTCCCCTGCCTCAGCCTCCCAAGTAGCTGGGACTACAGGCACCTGTCACCACGTCCAGCTAATTTTTTTAATTTTTTTTTTGGTATTTTTAGTAGAGATGGGGTTTCACCATGTTAGCCAGGATGGTCTCCATCTCCTGACCTCATGATCCGCCCGCCTCAGCCTCCCAAAGTGCTGGGATTACAGTCGTGAACCACCGCACTGTGCCGAGAAGTCCTAATTTCAAATTCATGGTTTTACCATATACATTTCAGACACATCCTAGATATTTTACAGTATCTTAAAATATTAATACATAAAACTTTAAGATAATTTCTAAGAAAATACAATTAAATAATAAAATAATTTATAACCTGTGGAGTATGTTGCTTATCTACTTTAAATGATATCACAAACACCACTCTCTATCTGGCAAAGGTACAAGACAGACAGAGGCTATTTTATCCCAAACACAGAAACCCATCTACTGTCCCTACCCATGATATCAAGGAAGTCTTCAGCCAGTACAACAGGACCTCTGTCAATGGGTTTTCCCGATCCATTGAATACCCGACCTAGAAATCAGTAACAAGACAGGACAAAGTAGATGCTGACTTTCAAACGTTCATAATTTTTAAAAGACCTTATGGAAATATGTTTAAAAGGAAACAGATCTCAGCTTAGAATGAATAATATCCATTTACCAAGCATATCCTCAGACACTGGTGTTCGGAGAATATCCCCAGTAAACTCACAGGACGTTTTCTTAGCATCTATACCTGAAGTCCCTTCAAATACCTATCAAGAAAAAGAATCAGAAGGGTAAAAGTAATTTAGATCATGGGCATTTACATTTTATTCATCTGCTAAACAGCTCTTATAAAATAAAATACACGAATGTATACTACTTTTGATATAATGAGCAAAGACATATAATAAATCAAATTGTCAACCTTCAGATCAAGGGTTCATGCTACAGGCCAAGCCTGATAAACAAGCTAAGTATGTTTTGTTTTGTTTTTTAATTTTTTAATATATATATTTTTAAAGGGTTGTTTCAAAAAAAAAGAAAAAGAAGGAAGAATATGTAAGAGAATTTAGTTGGCCCCACAAAGCCTAAAAGCATTACTCTCTGGCCTTTTACAGAAATGTTGCCAATCCCTGCTTTAGACTATTTTTAAGGGGAACATGTTATTGAGAAAACTGCCATTACCCATAGTGAGGTAACATTAAAAACTAGGAACTGTATGAGACAATTTAAAAGAAGAGACTCAGACAGATGCTCTTTTGGTTTCATCACATCTTCACTGAATTCTGCTTTTCATCTCTCTCCTTCTACATGACTAATTTTATCCATTTAAATTTCAAATTAGTCAAATGCCAAATTTTAGTCCTTAGTTTGGTCAAAAATGCCAGACTGTGTTGCTGTCGGACTAAGTGGAGCTAGGTGGCTGACAATGAGCAAGAAAACATGCAATGATAATTATTTTTCCCTGCAGCCGGTAACCAATCTCTAAAGACTCTAAAAACACTTATACAATGATCATCACAGAAAGAAACACGTAGCGTTCCCTATGTGTCGGCAGCTAGGCAACAGTTCAGCTGGCCAGGTGCAACTTACCTGAACTACTGCCTTGGAACCACTAACTTCCAGAACTTGCCCACTTCTCTTTGTGCCATCTGGTAAGGTCAAATGGACGATTTCAGCATACCTGGGAAACTAAAGAGAAAAAAAATAAAGGATCAATAACCCACATTTTAAAGCCCTCCAAATTACTACACATGCTCTGTCTCTACCATGGTGTGTCCGAATGTGCAACCCCCTACTCTCCACAGATACAGGTTTAGGCTGAGAGCTTTCAATATCCTCAGGTAGTTTAAGTCCTTTCAACACACATCACTGACACGTATATTGGCAAACAAAGCATAAGGTACAGAAGAAGGGTTTAAATCCTTGAAAACATGGCAATTAAATGTATTGCTTTCCTCTGCATGCATGTTTTATAGTTTTGAGGCTACAGAAAGGTACAGATAAACATGTTCCCACCACCTAGAACTGATGATTGCTTTCTAGGTTGTGTGTATAATCAACTGTGTGCTTCAGGTGTGGTTGATAGGGGAAGAATAAAATGTTACTAAATAGGCTAGGCTCGGTGGCTCACGCCTGTAATCCCAGCACTTTGGGAGGCCAAGATGGGCATATTATCCGAAGTCAGGAGTTGGGGACCAGCCTGGCCAACATGGTTAAACCTTGTCTCTACTAAAAATCAAAAATTCGCCGGGCATGGTGGTACATGCCTGTAATCCCAGCTACTCAAGAGTCTGGGGCAGAATTGCTTGAGCTGGGGAGACGGAGGTTGCAGTGAGCCAAGATAACGCCACTGCACTCACTCCAGCCTGGCTGACAGAGCAAGACTCTGTCTCAAAAAAAAAAAAAAAAAAAAGTTACTAAATAATAATTACTATTATAATAAGATAATGCTTAAGTCTCATCCTCAATCTAGTTCTCCTAACAAGATACATATTCTCTAACCCATTTTCACTCTTCAAAAAGACATGTCTCCAAAAATGTAGTTTGGTGATTTACGTAAATGGCAATGTACTTATCATTCTGCAATTTGTTTTCCGCAATTTGTTTTCCACTTGACCTGATATTAACATGACATTCTGTCACGTTAATACTTATTTTTATCAACATAATTGAAAGATGCATCATTATTCTGTGTGATGTGGAAAAAAAAAACTGCCAATTAAACTATGATGTGCCATTGGTTGTAAGACCCTTTGGAGATATGGGCACCTTAGAATTAATGTTAAAACAGAGGATGTACAGTTAAATTAGATAACTACACTACATTTTATTTAGCAGTTCTTCTACCAGTGGAGTTTTGGGTTGTTCCAAATTTACACGAACACAAAAATGTTACAATGAGCATTCTTGCATGTGGCTCCTCATACAAGCCAGAATTTCCAAAGCCATTTGGTGGGCCACATACAAGCTATGCCCATTTTCTGCCAAACTAACTCTGTAAAGGAACCTTATTAATTTACAGTCTCCTTAGCAGTATAAAAAAGTATCCCTTCCATCTTTGCCAATCTACGCTTTTAAATGTAATTTTTTTTTTTTTTTTTTTTTTTTTTGAGAGGGAGTCTCGCTCTGTTGCCCAGGCTGGAGTGCAGTGGCCAGATCTCAGCTCACTGCAAGCTCCGCCTCCTGGGTTCACACCATTCTCCTGCCTCAGCCTCCCGAGTAGCTGGGACTACATGCGCCCCACCTCGCCTGGCTAGTTTTTGTATTTTTAGTAGAGACGGGTTTCACGTGTTAGCCAGGATGGTCTGATCTCCTGACCTCGTGATCGCCCTCTCGGCTCAAAGTGTGGATTACAGCTTGAGCCACCGCGCCCGGCCTACGTTTGCTGATATTTTACATAGGTATTTTGCTAAATATCTAACATGATGTATTAAGAATTTTGGCATCTGTGTATAGTGAGAAACAGCTATTTTTTCTTTTTCTATACTACACTTTTTCTGGTTTGAGTCAAAATATGCTAACTGTCACAAAATCAGTGGCGCGCAGTTGCTTCATTTCTTCTTTCTGATTAATTTGCCTGAGACTATCTGTTCCTTGATCCTGTTAATGTTTTATGTTAAAAACAAAAGCCAAATCTAAAATCAAACAAAATCACTATAATCTCACGATCTAATAGATTTTTACTACACTACATAAATTTATTTACCAGTCTTCCCTCACTATAACTATACCCAATGTAACATTCAATGAAGCTTTTTTAGGTCTCCTAAATTACTTCCTCAGAGACGGTTCTAGTCCTTCCAGTATAATCTTTCATAGCACCTGACTCTTCACAGCACGTTACCAAGTAGACATTGATACTATTTCTGCATCTCCACTATACTTGCTCAACTAGGGGAGACCCATTCTTGTTGTTCATCATTTTATTTCTGTAGGCTCCAGCACTTAACACTATTAAGCCCAAATTTTTTGAGCCTGTTTCAATAATATACTTAGTATATTAAAAAAATTTGTATTTAAAAATGAGTCCAAAAGTTTATTTAACAAAGAATATAGAAAACAATTAAAATATACAGAAACAAACAAAGCTTCCCTAAAATGTTCTCAAAAACAAAAGAGTAGCTGTTTTCTTTCACAAAATGTTAATGGCACCTGCCTAAATCTGTACAACTTAAGTTTGATTATGCTTGAATCAATCTTCAGCACATATCAAACTGCAGTCAGGAGGTAAAGTCGCTAGTTTTCTTGAGATAGTTTTACAGGTGCCTTATCAACACAAAGATATTACCTTAGTGATAAAGCAGAAGAGGCAACGCACTTTGCCCCTTTCTTTTAAGAAATGTTTCTCGATGTATCTTCTGCTTCCAGACGGGTACCATGCCAAGCACAACGCATCATTAACCTCTCTCGACAAACTAGTAATTGTATGCCTCTCCTTGACCCACCCCATAACCAATGTACAATTACTGTTCTAGAAAAACATATAACAGAATTATTTTCTTGGATCGATACTTTGGTCAAACAGCTCAGGTAAAAAGCTTAGCCCAGGTATCTGATAGCCAGGTATCAGGTATCTGGCTTTAGACTGACTGACACTCAGTCTAAATGCATGGCTTAAAATCGTAACAAATAAATTAAGAAGTACTAAATAGGACCTATGCACATTTTTAACTACTAAATAGACCATAAGAGATAGGTATTACCTTAACATGATCTAAATCACTAGCGGACCATTGACTCCAATACTGTCTTGTATCTGGAAAGAAATACAGAAGAGTCAGCTTTAGTCAAACAGCACAAAAGCTTAAATTACTCTCTGGCATTACCAAAACTCCTTTCTACGTTATCATATCTATTAGAATACGCAACACTCAAATAGTTACAAAATTTTTCAATGCATTTATAAAAATGTCTGTCTACAGAACTTTTCATAACTCACTGTCATCCAACCAAAAATATTTTGAATCCTTGTAAGAGTAAGATCATTGTTCTAAGCACCCAGCATACACAAAACAAGACTCAGAGGACAGACTATGCTTGCCTTGAAAGTTCGGTCTTATGAGCGATGTTAGAATGTGATTGATAAGGCTCTCACTATGGCCTGCAGAGGGTTTGTGGAGCACAGCAGAACAGGCAATAGTTCTCATCTCAGGGAGAAAAGTAAAAACTTTATAGAGGAGGTGGCATTTAGCTAATTAATGAGGAAAGGAATTTTTAATGTTAAGCAGAAGTGACCAAAGTCACAAAGGAAATCGGAGAAATTGTATATAGCCTGCAAGGTAAAAGCCATAATTAAATGGTGTCATAAAACTAAGAGAAAAGAGCTTTTGAAGGAGGGAGTAGGCAATGGAAAGAAAGGCCAGAGGTCAAACAAGATAAGAAAAGTATCCTTTTAAAAAAAGTCAAATGTTACTGCCAGGTTAGAACTGCTGTTTTTCCACTGCAAAGTGCGCCCTACGAATAAACTGCTACTCTACCCCAGCAGGTCCTACCCAAAGCCTCACCTATCACACCTGCAACGGCAAGTGAAAGGGGGATCAGGTATAAGAACACTCAGGGACAGTAATTCTACCAGACACCTACAAATTCACTAAATTTCATAAGCAGAACAACTGAAAAAAATACATGAACCAAAGTTTTGAAGAAATTTACTTAAGGCCTAAATAATTAATATGAAGCTGTCTAGCAACTGGGAATTTGTCACTTGCTAGATTTCTTTTGAGGTCTTATAATGAGTTTGCACAGAGATTCCTGGCAGAGATGTGGACTCCCAGAATGAGGAAACCATTTACTAACCAGTCTGTCCACTCAAGGGCTTTGGAATTTAAAATTACAATTCCTTCAGCCTCAGGCTGGGAAGCCAGAGCCCTGGTACAAATGCTAGGACGGAGCAGACAGCGCTGTCAGGGCTTCCATCTTTCCTGCTAACCGGACGTTTAAATCCAGACATCACATATTTGCTTGAATATATCAGTAATTGTACTGTAACTGTCTCAATAGAGGCCCCCAACTGAAGTGTTTTTTTGTTTTTTGTTTTTCACTTTAGATAAAAAGCAAGCTACTTGGAGGATGGTCATGTGAAAGGATTAATCATTCCCCTAGATTACTAGAAAGACCCCATTTGCCACTCTGCCACTTTTATGAAAACTATCCCTACTGTTTTAAAATGATCGAATACTCTTAAAAAAAACATAATTCCAACCCCAAAAGATTTCTTCATTGTTTCATTTTAAACAAGACTCCAACATTGTTTTTCAATGACTTTTCTAAAATTGCCAAGTGGAAAATGGAAAGTGAGCTACATTAGAAATATGTTTTCTTGAAACCAGTTTTCAGAAATGCAGAAACGTAGACCTTTCCAAAACCTTTACCAAACAGCTGGGGTCAGGGAGGGGATATTGGTGTGAGATTTATGATAAACTGTTTTGAATAAAATGAAACATCAGTAAAATACATCAGGTTCTTAAAATTCTCTTTTATTCGACAAGACTGTATCTCCTTTATACGTCTAATTTCTACAACAATAAAGCTTCAGAATCTCATATTTAAAATTCAAGCTCATTCCAACCATGAAATTTTGCCAGTCACGAGCAAAAGTATGACCAAGAAAAAGGAAACACTAATCATAGCTTTTCTGGAAACAGTAAATCAGTTGACTTCTACTACAGAAGGCAAGATTCTACTTCCTCAAAAGTCTCTAAATTTGCCAATAATGTATCCAGCCTTTCAAAAGCCAATAAGTAACCTTGCAGGTTAACTGATAACCCAACATACATTTAGTAAGCACTTTTCAGGAATTCTCATTTAATCTCCATAATGGACATATGAGTTAGCTATCATTATTCTAAGTTTCAGAAGAGAAAAATTATTCTCAGAAATTATTGTGTCTTTGCCAAAGGACACAACAACCAGCCCAGGCTCTGAACGTGCACACTCTAGCTCCAGGGCCACTTATCCTTTGATTCTACTACAGGCCCAAATTCTAAAACTGAACCGGTCATTTTTTGTGGTATGGTATTTCTAAGAATTATGAAGCGATATCACCCAAAACAGTTTCGCAAGCCTGCATTTAGCTATGAAAACAGGTTTTTACTGTTCGCATCAGGGAATATTTCCCTGTGTCTACGCTTTGTCATAATCACAAAACAATCTTTTCCAATGGAGTCGTAGCTACTGGAAGAGTTTAAGTAGAGACGGAGAATCTGGTGGAGGTGATTCAGCCATCTTCCTGCATTGAAAAATCACGAAAAACATGAGGCGATGAGGAGACACTTCGAAAAACCAGAGGTTAAACATGCTTGGTTTAAATTCAACTGACATATAAAAACGAAGCTAAGACATGTTATAATCCAAATAAGATAAAAATGTGACCCAGCTTTATAGCTGGAAAGAGTTTCATGTTTTACAGAGCATCTTCAGATAGGACTATCTGATTTCACCTTCACAGAACACAACGAGGTGGGTGCTAGGGTTTGAATATCCCCTCGGAAACTCCAAAACAAGTTGAACTTCATCCCTGATGTGGCAGTACTGACAGGTTAGGCCTCTAAGAGGGGACTGGGTCATGAGGACTCTGCTCTCATGAATGGATGAATCCATTCATGGGTTAATGAGTTATCCTGTGAAGGGAACTGGTGGCTTTACAAAAGGGAGAGAGACCTGGCTAGTGCCTCCGCATTCTCAGCCCCATCACCATGTGATGTCCTGAACCACCTTGGGACTCTTTCAAGTCCCAACAGAAAGAAGGCTCTCACCAGATGCGGCCCCTCCACTTTGGACTTCCCAGACTCCAGAACTTTAAGAAATAAATTCCTTTTCTTTATAAATTATCCAGTTTCAGGTTTTCTGTTAAAAGGAACAGAAAATGGCTAACACAATAGGCAAGGCTGATGCACCCTAAGGAAACTAAGGCCCTGATAAGTTTGTTTTTAAATGGGGGAGCCAGGCTTCTAACTGTTTTGTTTTTCTTTAATCTTAGGATTGGTACTCTATGACCCTTATATTATTTCTGGCCTTAGTCTCCAGTACAATTAAAAAGTATGGAGATCATACAGCTTCCAGCACTTGGACTACAAGTGGGAACTAAAAGACAATTTATATAAAACTACAGCTCTGTTCCATGGTACTAAACTATCTGAGAGAAACCAAGCAGAATGATAACAAACACTACCTTTTATCTCTCGACAGTATTTATCCAGCCTTCCTCACCATTACCATTAACAGCCCAAAACAGAGATACCAGTTTACAGTATGGCTGTAAAAGACATTAAGTTGCCCTTCAAAAAAGACAAAAACCGATTGCAAATTACCTAAATATTTCTATTTACCAAAATACTGACCACTCCTCTCCAAATGAACAAGAATTTGAGTCCGTAGGTGGGTGTACGGGGGATAATCAGAACTTCTGACAACACAGAAGACACATTACATTCTTAACATATTTTACAACCAAAATGTCTTGGCTTTGATTCTGAACTATCGTATCAGGCAGACAACAAGTATTTATGAAGTAACACTTAAAACCCAAAATCTACAGAGGTTTTAAGGAGCACGTATTTTGTCAGACGACATCCTCTTCCTCCTGCAGGACAGGAGACTGTTCAACACTACTAACACCATTTAATGATTATGAAACACTCAGAAAAAAAGTTGACAGCCATTGCATAATGTGTCCTAGTCTTTTAGCCTCCACCTTATTAGCAAAACAAAAACCCAGAGCAATCATCCTCTCTTGTAAAAGAAGAGTAAAGATCCACACCATGAGCAGTGGGCACCTAAAGAAGAGGTTCTAGAAAAAAAGCAAGGAGAAGATTCCTATTTTGACTTTTTGCAGGGCTAGCTCTGCCTTATAAAAACTTAAGGTCAGTTGATTTAGGGTCTCAAGAAAATGGAGACGACCGAATTAAAATATATAGCATTCAAAAGCTCTACGTATGTTGTTGAACCTTTCCTTTTAAGACAAAATCAAGTTTTCATTCCTTGTGACTTCAGAAATTCAACTAAAATGCTCAAGATAATTTCCTAATTTCAAGCCTGACTATGTTTTCCATTTCTTGTTAAAAGTCCTATAATCTGGAAGCTATTTTTAAAAAGGATCTAATTTGTACGGTGGAGCTGTCAACATTACTCCATTTCTTCATTCAAAAACCACAACTTTTTAAGTTTAATACAAGTTACACAATTACAAGGCACATTCTATTTGTCAGGCACTGTGCTAGGCAGTGGGGACACAAAAAGATCTCTGACTTCTAAAGGTTCAGTGTGAAGCTTTAGGCCGGGCACAGTAGCTCACACCTGTAATCCCAGCACTTTGAGAGGCCAAAGCGGGCGGATCTCTTGAGCTCAGGAGTTGGAGACCAGCCTGGGCAACACGGGGAAACCCCATCTCTACCAAAAATAAAAAATAAAAATAAAAATAAATTAGCTGGAGGTAGTGGTGTCCGTCTGTAGTCCCAGCTACTTGAGAGGCTGAGGTGGGAGGATCGCTTGAGCCTGGGAGGTGGAGGTTGCAGTGACCTGAGCTCACACCACTGCACTCCAGCCTAGGCAACAGTGAGATCCTGTCTCAACATACACACACACACACACACACACACACACACACACACAATAACTATAATTACATATCCCCTTAAATTATATCATCAATCAATTTACAAAAATTAAGAGGTTGGCTGGGCGTGGTGGCTCATGCCTGTAATCCCAGCACTTTGTGAGGCCTAGCGGGGCAGACTGCCTGAGCTCAGGAGTTCGTGACCAGCCTGGGCAACACAGTGAAACCCGGTCTCTACTAAAATACAAAAATTTAGCCGGGCGTGGCGGCATGAGCCTGTAGTCCCAATTACTCGGAAGGCTGAGGCAGGAGAATTGCTTGAACCCGGGAGGCAGAGGTTGCAGAGAGTCAGATCGCGCCACTCTGCACTCCAGCCTGGACGACAGAGTGAGACTCTGTCAAAAACAAAAAAACAAAAAACAAAACAAAACCACAAACATTAAGACGTTAATCAGTATTTACTCAGAAGCAACTAAAACTTTTGCGTAGAATGAAAAATATGGCAAAAGAAGAAGATATTCAAATGCTGTTAGTTGTTAGCCTAAGTACGATATCATTTATGCTTTTAGAATAACACGGATATACAAGTGAAACTCAACCAGGCATTTCAACTCCCTGCTCTGATTCCGACCATGTTCACAATCTATCCACTGAATTATGTGAGCAAGGAGTTTAAATACAAGTTACACAATTACAAGACACATGCTATGTGTCAGGCACTGTGCTAGGCAGTGGGGATAAAAAGGATCCCTGACCTCTAACAGTTCAGTGTGAAGCCCTATGCTACAACAGTTTTGTCAAGAATAACGTCTGGAAAATTCTTCAGCAACTGGCTAAGTACGTACGAACTATGGAGAAATCACATTCATCTCTCTTAAAGGTTTACAATCTTAATCACGGAGTATCTTTAAACAACATTATTTCAGTTGATATCTCTGAAATGACTAATTATATGGAAACTGACTACTGCACCTTTATAACCTCTTTGAGAGGCACCACTAACGTCTATCTGTTCTGCCCAAAGAAAAGCAATGCATACAAATGTAATTAATAAAGAGAATCTGTAATTCGTAGGTATAAATTTATTGCCAAGGTTTGCATAAGAATGCAACATCTGCCGATTTCCTGAAGTAGCTACTTCAGCTCAGATAAGCCCCAACATACATTGTCTAATTCGAACAATTCCCAGGGTAAAAGGCACATCTCAGCAATCCACCGAATCAAATGTTTTCCTTTTTCTTCACACTGCAGTGCCATCACATGACCCAGTGACAGATCAGGATGTGGATTAGTCAGGCTTCAGATCGCCCAGGCTAACACCCTTCATCTGAAATCCTTTTTAACCAATCGGCCACCTACAGACAGGCACTCTGGCAATTAACCAGTGAAAATGCAGCCTCACCACCTGGGGAAACATCATGTGCTTTTCCCAGTTTTTAAAAAAGTCTATTTCGAGACTTTTTTAAAAACTGGGAACTGGCTCATTGCCAGTTCCCAAGAACGCTGTGAAGTTAGATGCTACACAACTGCATTCCCTAGTAATCAAGAACCATTTCTTTCGGAATTGCTGAGCTATCCACTTAAACCTAGTTCATTAAGGCCTTTTTATTTAAATAATCACAACACTTAAACAAGCCTATGCACACACACCATCTATGGGCAAAGCCACTTGGCTTCCCCAAAGAACCTTGCACTCAACCAAGTTCGGTTAACTGGTCAGTAAATGAAGAGGCAAGGGTAGAAAAGGCCCAGCGGGAATTTAAGAACCTGGATTTTTAGTCCCTGCTCTGCCAATAAGTGTCTGAAGCATGGCAAATTCTACCCCTTCCAGAACCTTAGGCTTCTCACCTGTAAAATGATAGGGTTGGACTGGATGACCTGCAAGGTACTTTTCAGCTCTAGCGTTTTCTGATATCTAGGTGTCCTTCTGTGGAGCAGCCCCTCCACCGAACACCAAGCCACATCTCCCTCTGGCTAACTGGCCTGACCTCCATCCACGAAAGGCCTGACCACGCCAGCGATGGCTCTACCGTCTGCCCTCCGCAGTAGCTGAAAACCCCACTGAGGTCCTCATCAGGGGAAGGGGAGAAGAAGGGGCGTTCCCTCGACCCCTAGATATCCAAATGAAGTCAGGGGAAGATTAAGATCGGAGTGACAAGAAGTGGCCCTCGGGGACGGGAAGCAAGTGCCTGAGAATGCTCCCCACTAGGGAAGCTGGGGAGGGAGGGGGTAAGGGTGTAGGGCAATAGCCAGGAGCCCACCAACCCAGGAAAAAGTTCCTGCTGGTGCTCTTGCCCTCAGCCCACCTCCCGGAAATACTAGGTACAGGCAAATCTCCTTCTAAAGAGACAAGTGGGTCAGGGTCGGAGGGGAGACGCGGGAGGGAAAAATAAATCCTGCACCCTACCCGCTGGCTAAGCAGGTGAGTGGGAGCAAAGGGCTAGGCTAGGGAGCAAAGACCGGAGACGTCTTGCTCTCTGATACTCACTGAGGCGAGGCTGGGAGAGGTAGTTCCGACTGACGGCCAGCGCCTGCTCCCGAGCTCCCACCACCGGCCCACCGGTGGGCACGGGTAGCTCGGGTGCGGCCCCGTTGACAATCCCCCGCATCGCCCGCAGCGCCATTTTGTCTCCTCCGTCCCGACTGGCCCAGCAGCGACGCCGCGCACGCGCGGATATACCAAAGCGGCCCGCGCCCCCGGCTCCGCCCATGCGCGCTGCGGCGCCCCGGCCTCGCCCCGCCCCCTTCGCCGCCGGCCGCCCCCAGCCTCGTGACTTCGCGCAGCCGGGGCCTGGCGGGCTTGCGGGCGAGAGGAGCTGACCAGCGTGCTGGGAGGCGGGCGCGGGCGCAGAGGGAAGGGAAGCGAAACAGGGCAGATTGCAGGAAAGAGGAAAACCAGCCAAAAGAGAGCCGGACAAGCGGGAGGGGAGGAAGGCAAATGCGTGCAGGCACAAGTCAGCTGATGTCCCTTTCGAATGGGCTTTCATGACGCTGAATGGAGAGAATTCAAGCTGTGAAAACCGCTTTGAAAAACAGAAGCAATGGAAAACATGTTTCAGTGATTAGTAACACACGTGGCATCATTTAGTTCACTTTACTCCCTACCAATTCGTTCACGCATGTATCCATTCAACAAACATATATTGACTTGTTATAGGATGTGCGTAGCGGTGTGAAAAACGGGAATAGATGTGGAAGCTGTCTAAGGGGTGGGACTAGTGTAGGATGACAGCCCAGGCTGGAAACCGGAGCAACGGAATGGATGATGATGATGATGATGATGATGATTATTATTATTATTTTGAGGGGGAGTCTCATTCTGTCGCCCAGGATGTAGTACAGTGGCGTAGTCTCGGTTTAATACAACTTCCACCTCCCGGGTTCAAGCGATTCTCCTGCTTCAGTCTCCCAAGTAGCTAAGATTACAGGTGTCCGCCACCACGCCCCGCTAATTTTTGTTTTTAGTAGAGACGGGGTTCTATCATGTTGGCCAGGCTGGTCGCGAACTCCTGACATCAAGTGATCCAGCCGTCTCGACCTCCCAAAATGTTGAGATTACAGGCGTTAGCCACTGCACCCAGCCGATTATAATTTTTTAGTTTAATGTCCAAAGTTGGCACGAGTAAAATTAAACAGGAATTGTAATACTCTACTGATAAGAGCACAATTGGTATGATATTTAGAAGAACAATTTGGTGCTATCTCATTCAAATATTTTGTTACTAGGAACTTATCTTTCTCTCTCTTTGTAGATATATCTATATCTATCTATCCACTCAGTATATGTGACAAATATTTTCCATTATATATAATACATTACATTATACACTATATGGTATATATTATATGTGATCTACAGACATATACATTTATGTATACATACACACAGATATTCAATGAAACATTTTTGTAATAGCATAAACCTAGAAACAATCTAAATGTCCATTCATAAGTTATACCCTATTAAGTCAAAGGTATTTCTCAAACTTTTGAAAAGAATTCAGTGGAGCCTCAAATGTTGAGATTTTTTTTTTTTAAAGCCCAAGACACATTATTAGGTTTAAAATAAAAAAGCAATTGCAAAATGCCATGTAAAGTAGATTAATATGTAAACGGCAGGAGAAATTTTATTTTTAATTTAATAATCTTTCTATGTAGTTTCACTCCTTTAACATGTGTTTGTACTAATTTTTTCAAATACAATGCATGGCAACTTTTTAAAAATAAAAATTACAAATCTAGTCTTCTCATGTCAATTTTTCACACTGGTAGGTAAATTTCATATATGAATATCAGACTGTTAGTTATTACAATTTTTATCTTATTATTTTAGGAGTATTTCATGGCTTTTACTTTAAAAAAGCCTTTTTTAAACTTTTTACTCTGGTAATAGAAATTAGTTGTGGTCTAATGTGTATAAGTAGAGTGGTAACCCCAACATTTATTTAACAAACATCTGTTGAGAAAATACACATGTATATGGGGTGCTGCTCTAAGTCCTGGAGATATATTTGTAAATAAACAAAGTCTCTGTCCTCATGCCACCTATTGGAGGGAGAAAAGTCAGAAAACAAACATGTAAATAAAGTGCCTGGTATGATGAAAAATAATAAAACAGGATAAGGAGAAAAGAGTGATCAAGATGAAGATAAGATTTTAGATGATGTGATCAGGGAATGCACTTCTCAGTCATCTGAGATCTGAATGGAGAGAGAAAGCAGCAGATCATGGGACGCTCCAGGAGACATGTGGCGCAGGCAGAGGATTTTGCAAGTGCAAAGGTCCTGAGGCAGAAGAAGGAAAGTGGGGCTAGAATGGACACAGTTAAGCAGAAAGCAGCAGGAGAGAGGGCAGGGCCAAGTCATGTAGAGCTCTGGAGGCTATGTGGATAGGAGTTTGAATTATATTCTTAGAGTGATTTATGAATTTTATGAAGGAGGAATATTATCTGATTAGGCTTTAAAGAGACATGTTGTTCTACTAGGCAAAATATGAGCTGGTGCAGAAGACAAGAGAAAAATTGAGAGACCAGTTAGGAAGCTATTGTGATTGTCTGGGAGAGCAACACGGACTCAAACCAGATGATGGCTTTCCTACATAGCACGCTGGCCTCAGCTCTGTCACAGAACTCGTCGCAATAGTGATACCATTAAAGAGTGACCATTTATATATCTTTCTCCTTCACTTTTCCGCTCTGTAACCTTAGATATGGAATGGGGGATGGGCAAGAGGGATGTAGTGCACAGTGCAGCTGCAAGAAACATTTCGAATGAAAAAAAAAATGATAGAAATAAGTCCAAGATTGCTATAAAACAGAGGTTATTAACTTGGGACCCTTAGAAGTCTGTGAAACCTTGTGCAAAATGTGTGCATATGGACATTTTCCGTGGAAATAACCCACAGACTTCTATCAGATTGTCAAAGGAGCCTGAAACTCTTAAAGAAAACAATCAAGTAACCATCACTGACAAATTGGGAGAGTGGTATTGCCTTTTATGGAATCACAAGTGTTTAATCAAATTGCCAAATAGTTGTGTCAGATAGTTGATATTACTTGACACCATCTCTAACTTCTCAGACAACTACATTTTTATACATTGTGTAATTTATTTGGATCTTATGATGGTACCTATGCAAAGTGCAGGTAACCCAAAACTGTTAGTCAACTGAAATTGAGAGTTTCTTAGAATTATTTACAGCAACATTATATAAACACTTTTCCTTGTTTTTGTTTTTTTTTTAATTATCCCCTTAATATGTAAGAAAGACGAAGGATAAAGTGTTATATGCATAGAAAAATACATTTCGGAAAATATAGAAAATTTCTAGTTTCTCTAGTAATGAAGAAATCCAAACTAAAATGACCACGAGGTTCTACTATATCTGTTAAATTAAGAAAAATGACCAAATGATTTTTTTAAGTGTTGGCAGGATTCGGGGCTAAGCGTTGCACCAGCTCATTTCTGATGGCTTTGGAAATTGGCCAGCCCTTCTGGAAATAAACCTGGTATAGGTTAGGGATCATAAACTTGTTCACACAGTTTGATCCAATAATTTGATTCTGTAATCTCAATGATGGGATTATTAACCAAAGGAATAAATGTTTATACCTTGTTATACTAATGCTATTCATCACAGTGAAAATGAAGTAGTAACCTAAATATCCCATAATAGTAAACTGCACCAGTAGTGTATATTTAATAGATACTGACATGAATATGATATATAGCTGGTGGGATTTAAGTATATGGAACTATTTATGCAAAATAATATTGAGTGAAACCTGAGCACGGATATAGACCAGTTACAATAGTGTAAAACACGTTTGTACATTGGTAAAAAGCAGAAAATTCTGCAGCGATGTCAATAATTGATGCTGCAATTTGGAAAGAAAAATCTTTTTCTCTTCTAAATGTGTATTAAATATCCAAAAGTCACATATACTCACACAGAGAGAGTATCACCTGGAGGTGGGTGGGCCTGCACAATATTAAGGGTAAGAGGTGCTAAAACAAACTAAATATGGCCTGAGAAGGACTCTGTACTTCCGTATTTGAGTCCTTGTGGATAAACTGCAACCTAACTTAATAGGAAGACAAAATGGAAAACCTAACTTAAGAGTTTGCGCCTGTAACAGTAGCTGAGTCTTGGTCGATCGCAGCAGTTGGTACTTCAGCTGCTCATACACTGCTGAGTGTTCAAAATGTGTTCAAATAAGGCAAACACCCAGCTGTAACCAATCCAGCTCTCTCTGCACCTCACTTCTGATTTCTGTAGGTCACTTCCTTTTTTTTTTTTTCTTTTTTTTTGAGACGGAGTCTCGCTCTGTCACCCAGGCTGGAGTGCAGTGGCTCAATCTCGGCTCACTGCAAGCTCCGCCTCCCGGGTTCACGCCATTCTCCCGCCTCGGCCTCCTGAGTAGCTGGGACCACAGGCACCGCCACCACGCCCAGATAATTTCTTGTATTTTTAGTGGAGACGGGGTTTCACCGTGTTAGCCAGGATGGTCTCGATCTCCTGACCTCGTGATCCGCCTGCCTCGGCCTCCCAAAGTGCTGGGATTACAGGCGTGAGCCCCCGCGCCTGGCATCACTTCCCTTTTTTATCTATAAATTTGTTCTGACTATGAGGCATCCCTGGAGTCTCTCTGAATCTGCCGTGATTCTGGGGGCTGCCTGACTCGCAAATCATTCTTTGCTCAATTAAGCGCCTTTAAATTTAATTCACCTGAAGATTTTCTTTTATCAGGGGCTTGGGGTATGGACTCTGAAGTCAGACAAACTTAGTTTAAGTCCTGAGTTGATTAGTTCTATGACTTTGAACAAAATTTATTCTCTCTAGATCTCGTCTTTCTAGTTTATAAAATGAGAATAATAATATTATCTTCATAAAACTGTTGTATTAAAAGAGATAAAGAATGCAAAGTATTTGGCAAATAGGGCTAGATATGTTTTAGCTAACATTATTATTACTTGCTTTGATTTATTGATTAATAGACTATGTTAAGTAATATGTGTCAGGCTCTTTTTTTTTTTCTTTTCTTTTATCTTTTCTTTTTGAGACAGAATCTTGCTTTTGTTGCTCAGGCTGGAGTACAATGGCATGATCTCGGCTCACTGCCACCTCTCCCTCCTGGGTTCAAGCGAGTCTCCTGCCTCACCCTCCCGAGTA